AGGGAGAAGCAGGGAGGGAGGCTTGCATTGATTAATATTAGAAGAAACTCCCCTGAAAGAATGATAGATCATGGCTTGGTTACTCCAGAATCTTTTCTTGTTTCTTTCTTTGATGGGAGGAGGGGGGACTGGAAACAAAAGGCCTAGGAAGGGGGGAATGGAGGGAGGGGTGTGTTTTGAAATCTGCTTCCTTTTGGCCACGCTTGAACTTCCAAGAGCCTGGCTTTGACTGACATCCCTAGGAAATGGAAGAGAATACTCCATGCTGAGCCGGCGCTCTGCCCAGCAGAGGAAGGAGGAGGCATCTGGCTCCAAAGAGCTGAAATAGATGCCTTCAATGCCTCTGTCATTCAGCATCACAGAGGTGTGCTTGGGTTTACTGTGGGAGCATCCTGCTCCTCCAGGCTTAGAGAGGCTCCTCACCCTGCCTGGGTCAGAGCACCTGGGCTCTGCGTCTGCACTCTGCTCTCACAACTTGGTTGGAGCAGACAGGACATATGTTGATGGCTAATGAGAAGGGAATGGAGCAGCCTTTGCAAAACCTGGCTCTATACTTCCCTGTGGTGCTGTCTGCTGGCGCAGGAGAGGCCACAGACAACCATGACTGACCTCTGAAGCATTTCAGAGACGTTTGCTTTGGGGGCCTGGGAAGGAAATGTGTTAATAAGGGTATCATGCATGCCATGCAGCTGCCCCCCTGCCTGCAGCCCCAGGGAACTGAGTTCTGTGGACATATGTGGGGCATATGCCAGAACAGAGCATCAGGAAAAAAACGAGAAAACATCCTTAAAAAGGGAGAGCTGCTGCTTGCATTGCACGGAGCTGGGATGAGGAGGTTAGAGGGAGGGAAGTAGGGGAGATAATTAAGCTTTGGCATTATCTAGAGCTTGCAAATTACCATTAAAACTATAGAAGCATTCTGTAGAGAATCGAGACAGAGTGGGTGCTCAGAACAGCACCCAGGAACACCATGCTTCTGGTTGTCTCCAAAAAAGCTGTGGGGATGCCTCCTGGGCAGGCACTGACAAAAAAAGGTATTTTTCAGTGGGCTTGCAAGTTTAAAAATGCCATCTTGCCTTCTGACATCCCTCATATGGGGACATATGACACCCAGGAGGGGAGTAAACTGTTCAGAAGGGCTGGTAACAGCAGGACTAGGGGAAATGGTTTGAAGTTGAAGGAGGGAAGATTTAGGTTGGATGTTAGGGGGAAGTTCTTTACTAGGAGAGTGGTTAGGCCCTGGAACGGGCTGCCCAGGGAGGTTGTGGATGCCCCGTCCTTGGACGTGTTTAAGGCCAGGTTGGACGGGGTCCTGGGCAACCTGATCTGAATGTGTATGTTTGGTGGCCCTGCTAGGCAGGGGGGTTGGAACTACATGATCCTTGAGGTCCCTTCCAACCCGGGTGATTCTGTGATCTGTGATTCATATCCCTTATCCAGGACTGAATTAGCTGACCTCAGGTTTGCCCTTATGGGCAAATCAAGCACTGATTGCTGTTCTCCATTAATCACACTAATCTACTGTATTGGATTCCAGCTAGAATCAGGCTTTTTTGCAATTCCTCAGAGCTTCTAGAGGGCTCTTGCCTTTGGTCTTCAGATTTCCATGTCAGAGCCCAGGATTTCTCAGCAGAGGACTCCTGAGGTTCTTCCCAGCACAAATTAAAGCCTTTTGGTGCATGATGAAATGTTGTTTGTTTGTTTGTTTGTTTTGCATTGCTTTGCCTTTTCCTAACTAGATGGTTTTTTTTTTTTTTTGTTATGTTGTTGTTGTTTGTTTGTTTGTTTGCTGTTAGGAGGAAGAGGGGGCTTTCATTTACTGGTGATCTCCCACTCCATTTTTTAATACTTGTGGGATGTCGGAGGTTAGGTACTTGATTTGCCTACTCAGGTAATTGTTTGTGTGCCAATTTCTGCTGGTAAGTACTTTCCCAGTGCTCATGTATAACTGTATAACCTAGTAAACCATTAGTGCAGAATATGGACAAACCCTTCTAAGACAAAGTTACAGATTAGTTTGCACATAGTTAGGTGAGCCTAGTGCTTTCAGAGGGGAAGGAAGATATATATGACCATCCTGCAGAGCATGGACACATATGCTTGTCTTGTGCTGTAGTGGCCACATTACTTGCACAGAAGAACCCCCACAACCATGGACAACTGCTGCCACTGGCCTCTCACCAGGCCATGCTCGTGTACAGAGAACCCACAGCAGCCCACCACCAAGCTGGGCTTTGTTGTCTTGGGCTCACCCTCAAACCACACTTGTCTGCCAGTGCTGCCCAGCTTGGGAGCACCAGTGGGGGACATTTCTCTTCACAGAGGAGATCAGAGGGTGCGAGTCTTGCTGGCTGCTGTTGCTGCTCCTCTCCCCATGGGACTTGCCCACCTGCCAACTGCAGCTGAGCATGCCGTGTCCCACCACCGCGCTCCAGTTTGACACGCTACCGGTGATGGATGGCAGGCAGGGGAAGCCCGTGAGGCTTCGTCTCACCGTTCCTCAGCCCTGCCAGCACGCTGAAACCCTGTCCTCACTGTTGAGAGACGGTAAGCTTATGCACGTCTGGCTGAGGACTCAACAATGATAGATAATGCCAATAAGCCCCAGAGCTGCCACAGGGAGGGGAGGGTGATTTATCCTCAGTCGGACAGCGGGGCCGAGCGGAAATCCTACGGGAGCTGTGGGGCACACATCAAAACCGCGTGTCACAGCACCCGCCACACCCGGGGCGCCGGTTCAAAGCCATCACGTGCTGCGGCTGGAGACTGGAGGTGATGCCAGGCTAATGAGCAAATGAAGCAATAAATAACCCGTATGGTCATTACGTACTCCCCCTCTTAGGCGCAGGCCTGCTCCGGCCCTGGTGAGCAAGCGCTTCTCGCACCCCATTACTCATGCTGAGCCCCTCGGCCGGAGCCCGGAGCAGCTCAGCAAACCATCCATCTTGGCCAAGCACAGCCCTTTCAAGTTCCCCTGCAGCAGCCGCTCTGTTTATTGTTAAGATGAGCACACAGTTTACATGGACTGTTCTTATTTATCCTTGACTTCTACCTTTTAGGTCATTTCTTTGCACGTCCGGCACTTTTCAATGCTGTCTTGACCAAATTTGTATTTATGTCCTCGGTTTTGCTGTCTGAAGCTCTGAGGCCGCCAGCAATGGGAAGGTGAGGTGAGCCCCTGACAGAGGCTTTTTCTAGGCAGGCCTGGGGTCCCTTGGGCAAATTGCTCCTCAGAATGGAGATTTAGGTAGCTGCTAACGGGGGGGGCTTGTGGGGCTGCATGGAAAGGCGTGCAGGGGTAAGTGCTGGGTCCAGTGTACCTTCCAGCTGGGGTTGGACATGCAATGCACAGGAAAGTGGCAGAATAGGAGGTGTCTGGAGACAAGGTGATGGCATTTGTTCCACATGTTGCTAAGGACCTGGGAAGAGAATTGGTCTGGGTATGGTCTTTCATAATCACATTATTTAAGTTCAAGAGGAGATCAGGTCAAGGACTTTTGTCTTCTCAGGACTGGCCAGGTAAACTGACCTCAGTTTGCTGCTTCTCCCTACTCATGCTTTCTGGATTTATTATCAATCTCATCACTTGCATTCTCCCTTGCCTCTTCTTACCTCAGCTCTTTGACCAGTGGAATAGCTGAAGGACACTTGCATCTCACTTGTGAGAGTGTTATGTGCTGGTGGAATGCTTCCTGCTGTGGTACCAAAGCAATGTGATGTCTTCAGAGCACCAGGAGTGTTCCCTCAGCCTGAAGGTGTGTCAGTTCCGAGCCAGCCTTTGACAAAAACACTCAGACACTGGCAGCACTAAACTCTGTTCTGAATTACAGCCACACAGCCTGGGGTGACCTGCTTTAGCTGCAAGCAAGTCTGCTGACAGGTGGAGAAGGATCCCAGTGATAGCACTGGGACTGCAGCAGCAGGAGAGGCTGAAACTTTGGTGAGGCTTCACCAGGCTGCAGTTACCAGGTATAATTGAGTTGCAGTTAAGTCTTTTTGCCTTTCCTCTGGTGATCAGAAAGGGTTAAAAAGCCCTGTGATACAGGTCGGCACTCACACCGAATCTACACCCATCATATATATATATGTATATATATCAGGTTTTGGAGGGGAGGTTACACATGTCACTGGCCATAACTCAGACTTTTATTATAATCGTGACCATATGGTTAATGGGACTTAATAAACCACCATTGACCTGGACTCTGTGTGCACAAATCTCTTGCTCTCTTTCCTTTTTTAACTCGCTTGTCTGGACACACTATGCCAAGCAGCTGCAGTTTACAGATCGAAGGCACCAGTTCCAGTGGCCAGCAGCTAGTTAATTCAGAAAGAATAAAACCCCAAGAAAGCCATGTTGCAGCACAACCCGTGGGAGACAGCAGCAGACCCTCCCAGGGCAGCTGTTCTGTGCATCCTGTGAACATGAGCCTTAGAAGGGACCAGAGAGGGAACATCAGCCAGACCCTGCCCCAGCACCAAGGCCCTGGGTAAGTACCAGTGAAAGCCAGGGAATTAAATCCATGCTTCTCACACTGCAAGTGAGGAGAACATTTAACCAAGCGCTTCAAAAAATGCTTTGGCATTTTGTCAGGCACAAAGCTTTTGATTTAATGGGAATTAGAACTGGGGGAAAAGCTATTAAATCCTATCTAAAGCATTCTCCTGGTGACCTGGTACAAGATTCATCCAGGCGATATATTCTCTAACTCTTCAAGCTAGTCTTAGCTTGATGAGCATGTGACTCCTGCCTACGAAGTTTTTTGACCATACCCTGCTTTTAACAGTGCTGCACTGTCACCTGCCCCTGGGCAGCCAGATAATGCAAACCTTCACCAGGCACAGCTAAATATGTTCTCACTGGTAGGCTGATATTGCTGATAGTGCTTTACAAGATCGCCCTATCCCGAAATTTCCCTTAGCTCAGTTTCCTTAGCCCCAGCTGCTGCCAGCTGATTTTACAGGTGGGAGCCCAGGAGGAGAGGCTCCTCATCTTTCCTAGCGATCCAAACACACGTGCCTCAGAGGAATGAGAGATCTTGAAACCGTAGGTACTGAAGCATGTGGCTGACATGTAGGGCTGAGCTAGAGTAGAGGTTTTGCTTCATTCCTTTGATCCTGAGTTGATACTTAATGTTTTTATTATTTGATTGGTGTTTTTGTGATTACATGCACCTGCCATTAATGATATCCAGGCCCACCTGTAGGTGGGGTGCTGTTGAAATTAAACTCTCTTCCTTCTTTAAAATGACTGTGTAAACACCAATTCCAGCTCCTTGCCTCATGTTTAGAAATGAGGGCTCCTGATACTGTATTACCCTTTCTGAGCCGCATGTAACAGACCTTGGGGGAGGCTGTACTTTTGTGTTCTGCTCTGCTCTTCTCTTCTCTTTCTTTCTTTCTTTTTTCTATTTTTTTTCTTTTTTTGTCCCCTTTTAAAAATTATTTTGTTTTTATACAACTATTTTGCATGCTGTTTGGAGAACATCACATCTCTAGTATGTTGCACGCTTAGGGCTGTGTTTCTTCTGTTCACAAATAGTTCACATGGCTTCATTTAGGACCCAATCCAAGTGCTGGTGGTCACAGCTGGAGACTTTATGATGTCTTTGATGGATTCTGAAGAAGACTGAGTAGATTTTGGTACATCTTCAATCACATTGGTAGGTATCAACGGTTACTCGTCCCAGAGCTTTGTCTGTCCTGAAATTGGAGGGATTTTTCCTAGCCAGTGGCAGTCTTGGTACTTGAATATCTAGAGGAAGCATCAGAGAAAAGTGGACAGACAGACTGCATCACGACTCAGAAATGAGCCTCATTGAACAAGAGCCAGCTGTATGCCCAGGTTGCTACGAAGGCCAAAGGCATCCTGTTCTGTATTAGAAATAGTGCAGTCACTGGTAGCAGGAAGGTGGTTGTCCCTCTGTAGTTGTCTCTGGTGAGGCTGCACCTCAAGTACTGCGTTCGGTTTTGGATTCCTCTCTGCAAGGAAGACATTGAAGCCCTAAAGCTTGTTCAGAGAAGGGCAACAAAGCTGGTGAGGGATCTGGAGCACAAGTCTTATGGGGAGTGACTGAGATTGATGAGTCTGTCTGAAAGGAGGTTGTGATGTGGTGGAGGTCAGCCTCTTCTCCCAGGTAACAGTTATAGGTTGAGAGGTGATGGCATCAAGTCATGCCAGGGAACGTTCAGGTTGGATATTAGGAAGAATTTATTCTCAGAGAGGTGAGGTACTGGAGCAGGCTGCTTGGGAGGTGGCAAAGTTATTGTTTCTGGTGGCTTTCAAGAAACGTGTGGATGTGGTACTGAGAGACATGGTTAGTGGCATGGTGGGGTTAGGCTGGGTTTGGGCTAGGTGATCTTAGTGGTCTTTTCCAACCATAATTATTCTATGACTGTTGATTGTAAATGCTTATGTCAGAATGTAAGTGCCAACGTTCTGTGTGAAGGCTTGGCCTCCAACAGGTGAATTATGAGTGGTGAAACCTTCAACGTCATGAAGAATCTGACACCTGAAATGAGCCTTCTTGCATACTTCACCCTCAGCTCTATTCCACCTTTCATACAAGGTACCTTCCCACAGTGGTGTCCTCTCCAATGGGAAGTGCCCATCTCTTGGTACATCAGCCCAGTTCCTCTCTCTTGCTTGAAAAATCCATCTGAGCAGAGTGCAGAAGCATGCAGAGGTCTGGCATAGAATCTCAAGACACAGCCATGCAGTGCAATGCCGAGCAGCCTGCAGCATACTCCAGGTCTCTGCCCCGCACAGGGGATCCGTGCACCCTGCAGAAGGAACGTGCCCAGAGGAGCGTGAGGCATGTGTTCCTTGCTCCAAAAATGCTGGTAGTGTTTACAAAGTCAGACACGTCAGCACAGCTATAGTCAGTAAAGTGAGTGTAAAACTGGCCTTGTTACTTCCCAGATCTGAGGGATACGAATCAAATACGCACAGATGGTCGGCCACTTTCCATAATGAAACACGTCTTTATTGTCCCGAGGAAGCTGCATTTCACAACATAAGCATTGGGGCTTGCTTCTTTTTTTATATATTTTATTTTCTCTGCAAACTGTGGGCAGTTTTGCCCCTTTCCTTAAATCAAAAATCACGGACGATAAAGACGTGTTTCATTACTGAGAGCTGGCCAAGCATCTGTGTGCAATGGACTTCATTTTCTTCTCTAGGTTGTTGGCACAAACATTCCCAGCCTAAGCCAGAGAGGAAACCGGAGCAAATGCAGGGATCTGAGTACTCCCAAGCTTGGGGAGCACTCAAGCTCTGTGGCTGATTTTTTTCTGGTCTGCACTCAGCTGCTACATCCCAGACTTTGAAGGATGTGGAGAAGTGCAGACATGAACTGGCACTGCCAGGTGTGAAATATTTGGGTGCTTGCACCGCCATGGATCCCAGAAGAAGCAAAACCTCACAAGAAGTGGATGCTGTCCTTTGAGGGTGACTAAACTGGCTAAGGCTGCCTTGAGTGACATGCCTAGAAAACACATCATGCTAGTGAATCCCAGGAGTTTGTTCATTCCTGCCCTCAGTGATGGGATTGCACCCCTGCTGCTGCCTGGACGTTTGGATTTGTGCCTCTGAAAGGTCTCATGAGTGCTGGTGTGGAAACATCTTTTCCCAGAAGCTGATCCTGAGCTCCTTTTCATTGCCAAGGATGTGGTGTGAGGTTTGGTCTCCATGCCTTGTGCAGCTCTAGGATCCTCCTAGGGTCTTACCTGCCCAGTAGAAATGATGCTGTGCCATTCTGATTTATGCTCCTGACAGAATACTTAACAAATATGCTACTTTAAAGCATTACTGTATTCAGCTTGGGAGGAATCCATTCAGAGACACAGTACAAAGCATACAGCTGTGATGACAGCTCTGGGACCAGGATGTATTTGTCTCTGGTGCAATGGGGTTACGTTTGCAAACATATATTTTGTGAAAAGTAGTAGGCTTTGATGATGCTTAAACAGCCAGTTCTCTTTCCAGGGAAGACACAAAGACTAAGAAATAAAAACAGAAGGAGAAAGGGAGAGTGCCCCAAGAAAAAGACAAGTCATTCTTACCACAAGTATAAGTATGGGGCTTCTGACCAGGCACAAGGATAATTGGACACATTATTTTAAAAGCTTCCCTATCTGCATAATCTGTTGCCTGCCTGCTGGTGGGTTCCCAAACACAACAAATGAGCTGTCTGGGAGGAGAGCAGATTGGGATTCTTGAGAGCTGTGCCTCTGATTCTGGCTTTTCTGTCTGTTAACTCATTGCAGGAGTCAGTGCCGAAGTGCGATACGTGCTTTCCCTTCGCACTGCAGCACAGATGGGCTTGGCAAGGCTGTATGGATTCATGTCTGTGGCTGTGACCACATTGCATCTTATACCAGGGCCAGTCACTGGGGCTGCAGCTTTAGCATGGCTTAGCTCCTCCTTGCTCAAACTGCAAGTGTTAGTCCTGGCTTTCGTGGTTGTGGTTTCAAAACCTGCCCTGCCCCAGTTCAGAGAGCCAGCTAGCCCCCATGCCAGTTCCAGACTCCCTCTTCCTGTAATAGGGGAGGGGGATGAGACTTTCCCAGACAGTGTGGCAACAGCGTAACAGAACTTCTGCATGAGATCTGTGCCTTTCAGGATCATCAAAATACAACTGCTGATGACAAATTAAAGCATATGGGTGCTTAATCTACATAACTGAAAACAAAGCTAATTGAATCACTGGAAGAATGTAGGTATTGAGCACTCTAACTGTGCTGTTGAACCATGCTCTGCTAAATATTGTAAGCACCTATAAAATACAGCATGTGCCTGTTCAACACTTATATTACTCATCTTGTGTACTCTTTAAAGTCCCTCTTCTTCTGTTCTTGCCTAAACAACTGGCCCCTTCAAAGGGGCTTGACCATGACAGACATTCTGGGATTTCCTCTGTACAGCATGTTTGGAACAGAAGAAAACTCTGAGAATTCACTGTCTTGTGAATAGCTTTGTTTAAAACCCAAATGATTTCTGGGATAGATTTGAAGAGCAGCTGGTGTTTTGGCTGGGTGTGATGCAGAGCTGAATCTTTGCTCTGGCTGTCTCTGGAGGAGTCTGTCCATATCCCATGACTCCATGGGGAAGTAGGCCATCACCTTGGTAGGCAGGTGGCTGGAGACATCCATAGTTTTGCACAGCTAGTGTATAAGGTTCTGCTGTTGATATTTCTCTGCCAGTGTGGCTTGGGAAGCAACACTGAAGACAACAGTAGCAGTACATCTATGTGATGGTCCTTGAATGGCAGTATAGACTCTGCAAGAGACAAAGTCGAAGCTGGAAGCTTGAGGCAATTCTAACCTTGCAGCTAGAGCCAGGAAAACTGCCTTTCTCTCACAACAAACAAGTCATTATACACTTTTCCTTTTTCAAAATACATATAGCAGTAGATTAGACAGAGAATCCAAATAGGTCCCAAAGGTATTTAGTGTTATCACATCACCTTCGGTGAAAGAAAAGCCATTTCTGGTGAGGGCAGCTTGCATTTTCTTTTTTTAGCTTGCAAGCCTTGGCTAGATATAATTGCATGAAATCTTTCATTGCACTCCTTGTGTTCACAAGATCAAAGCCCCTCAAAATGTAAAAGGAATCTACAATCATACCCCTTGGATCCTCACTTTAATAAACAGTTGCTTTTGAAATAAACCAAAAAGAAGGAAAAAAGTAATGAAACCCACGTCCTAATGGGATAATGTATTTATTTTCTCTCAGTTATTTTCAGGTCTGCAAGACAAATCTGAAAACTCTCTTTCCCAGATCAAGTTTGTCTCACAAGGGGTTGCATTTCTCAGTGATACAAGTAGAAAGGCATGAACCAAAGAAGGGATTTTAGACTGCCTTTGAAGTAGGGAAGATGGCAGCAGAATTATGCTGTCACCAGTACTCCAGATGTTCAAGAGGAGCTATGCCAGGCTGAGACACACACTCAACAAGGGCTGTGGTTGCAGCCTCAGTGGTGTCAAAATTGTCCCTCTGGTCCCCAGAAAGATATGGTCACTGATGGTCCAGCACTTCTTTCTCAAATAGTTCAAAACTGTTCACTTTGTACACCCTCAGATCTTGCTCCTGTCATTCAGTCCTGCTGGAGGTGCTGAAGAAGGTGCCCTCTCATGTGCTTTAGCAACCTACAGAGTACTGCAGCCCAGTGAGCATGAGAAGAGCAGCTCTGCTGGTCTTGGCCAGCAGCTCCTCATCTGCCAGAGCTTTCTGGGAGAATTGCAGGAGTTCAGAAAACACCCCGTGTCTGCAGTGTGGCATTATCCATACCCACAGCTTGGTGTTCACGTTGTTGTTACGGTGAGTAGCTTGGGATGTCAGAGAGAAAGACTGCTGGAAAAAAATTGTTGATAAATGGTCTCTTCCTCAGCAGACAGAATGTGCCTGAGTGGAAACCATAGAGAAAGTCCTTCTGCCATGGCTAAACTGACAGCAAAACATGCTGAGGATCAGGCCTTCAGTGGGTGATTCATGACTCAAGGTGTCACACGGGTTAAAGATTCTCATCTGAAGGGGATTAGGAGTTTCCAAGGAAGCACAGTCCTTCAGGGCCTCCAGCATTTCCTTGAAGCTTTTGGAGTCTCAGAGCTGCTTCAGACCTGCCTCATTATTCTGTCTCATCACGTGAAATGTCCATGCCAGTTTTGGCAGAAGGTATGGAGGCACCTCATTCAGGTAAGATAAGCATCTGCTGTGAACATGGAGCATAGGGCTGGCTGCTTCCCTAGTGAGATCTGGCCCTGTGGGACTGCCTGGGGACAGGGCTGGAGGGCTCCCTTGCCATGATCTGCCTCCTTCTGAAACCTCTCCCTCTGCCCCTCCCTCCTTTTCACCACCAAACACTTCTCTCCCAGCGAGGTGTTTTCTGATGCTTTGCATTAAGTTCGCAATGTAAAATTGGAAAGCACAGAGCCAGTACAAGATACAGTTAAAGTTGTGTGTGCGTGCCTGTGTGTGTGCATGTCTGTCTGTGTGTGTGTTTAATGCAAGGCTTTGCAAAACTATCAAGCACTCTTTAAAGTGCCGTAAAATTTAATGCTCAATAGGGAAGCCTAAACAAATGAAGCTGCACTATAAAATGTTTAGTGTTTCTATTGCTTTCACTTTGAACATGAAGACTTACTGCAACGTACAAAGAGGGACTTCTCTGTCCCTTTCCATTTCTCCCTGTGCCTCTTCTATATTTTCTGATTCGCAAAGAATTTGATTTTATAAGGGAGTATCTTCAGCTCCCTGTGCTCTTTGTTCCAAAAATCGTATCTGTCTGTCATTGAAAAAGCTTGCATGTTCTCTTTTCCCTGGGAAATACAAATCTGAGCTTAGAAAAGGAGCTCTATTCTTTCATCTACACCAAAACTCACTGTAATTAATTATTTTACTGTATATGGTGGCTTCCAGAGCAGCCTGGTACTGCTCTTATTTTTGACCTGCTGTGTTTTCTTCTGCTTTTCTTGTGACTTCGAACGCACAGAGCTCAAAGTGTAATCAGTGGAGATCCAAAGCGCACCCAGTGATACAGGCAGCGGAGTCACTTTTTACCTGTCTAGTGAAAACAGCCAAGAAAACCTTTTTATTTTTGTCACTTTTGTCATTTAAGCAGTTCAGTGAAATCACTTCTTTCATAGGCAGTAAGGTTAGGCATCACCTGCAGCACCCTGACTGAGCAGCAATGGGCCATCCAGTGTCTTTATCTGCACCTGTACTTCCATGGTGATAGTGTTCACCTTCAGTATGAAGCTTTCAGTTCTTTCATGGAGGTTTGTGATGTCTGCCTTCGCAGGACAGAGGAGCAAGGTTCGACTTGGCAGGGAAGAGAACAACACTCTTCTAGGTGGCAGCTCTGTTTTCGCTAACAGGTAATAGGGACAAATAAGAGGCAGCAAAGACTGTGTAAGCTTTGTCTCTTCTGGACCAAAGCACAGTACCACATGTCTGCGTGCATTCATTTTTGTCTGTGCTGTCATCCCTTTGGAGAAAAGATATAGCCAGATAGATGTCTTTTTTCCTGTGAAAGGTTTTGGATTACCCCAGATATTTAATGGCTCCTCTTTTTTCAGACTTTGGAGAAGCCACAGCTCATGGTCTTTCCTATGATTTCACCTGTGTGTTTGAGTCTCACCAAGACAACATTGCATACTCTTACAGATCATAGCCTTTCCTCCTGAGTGGAACCCAGGAAACGGGTTTGAATCTCCCGTACGTGAACAC